TTACACAAATGTCATTACCTTTATATCACACCATACTAATAAGAGTATTTCAGTAATTTCTATTTTATTTCTACTTACATCTCAATATAATATTAATATTTCTAAAACTACGTACAAAAAACAAATGAATACTTAATTATGGGACGCATAGAGTATTATTTAATAATTATAATAGTTCTATAAAATATAACATTTAATATATTTATTTCATAAAATGTTAAATTAAATACTCCCTCCGTTCCACGTACTATGTCCACGTTGCCGTTTTTGTCCGTCCTATATTTCATGTCACTTTTTTTTTGAAAAATGATTACACATTTTAATCTCATTTTAAATTTTTTAATTTATTTTTTTAAGATATTTTAATTAAACTAATTAGCTATTTAATCTTAATTTATAATTATTTATATTATAGGATAATTATTTTCACTAATACATTCTTAATTATCTATTAATTACACCCCTCCTAAAATACCGTATATACAGTGTAGCAGACACGGTATATGGAACGAAGGGAGTATTTTTTTATTATTTTTAGATTTAATTTAATTTTTATTTTTTTAAAAAAAATCTTATCCAAACAAAAAAAAAAGTTGATCTTGAATTTCGTTTAATTCATTAGGTTGTGTTCGTTTAGACGATTTTGGTCTAATTTTACTGTATACATATTGTACGTTCAATTTTCCTCGAAATCCTGATAATCCCTACCCTAGAGTCTACTTTTTTTCTGCAGTCCACTTCCCTTTTACAGCAGTATGCCTTTTCGGAAATTGTCAATGCATTCCATTGCAGAATTAAAAAATAGTGTTGTGTGTGTTTGGGGTTGGAATTTTTGTTTGGAGTTGAAATATTAAATAATAATAATAATAATAACTGAAAAATAGTACTTCTTTCATCCCAAAAGTATAGTTTTGTTGTGTTGGACATGTAGTTGGTAAAAAATAAAGATGAATAACTTTTTTGCCCTTGAGAGTATATTAGGGTAAAAAGTAGTGACAATTGTGTAATAATAATGAAAAAGTAAGATAGTTTTATGGTGATATGTTTATTTATAGAAATGAGACTATTGTTTTAGAACGGACAAATATGGTAAACAAGACTATTGTATTGGGATGGAGGAAGTATTATAATGCGATATAAATCAAAGTTGATACGATGTTTTGAATGTAAAATTAATTTGTAGCGTAATATAGAAAAAAAATATATTTAATTTGATAATTTTGAAAAAAAATTGAATAAATAATACAAATTTGCGAGAACTCACATCATCCAAAAAAAAAAAAAAAAAGAAACAAATTTTTTTTCTAGAAATTAAATTTAAATTTAATTAATAAATATCAAATCAAACATCACTTTTCATTATTATTTATAATTTCTTTAACAATATTAAATATTATTCATTTTTAACTATCACATCAATTTATTATTTTTCAATAAAAAAATACTACCTCCGTCTCACATACCGTGTCTACTACATTGTAGACACGGTATTTTAATTTAGGAGGGATGTAATTGGTAGATAATTAAAAATGTATTAGTGAAAATAATTATTCTATAATATAAATAATTATAAATTAAGATTAAGATAACTAATTACTTTAATTAAAATTTCTTTAAAAAAAATTAGAAAGTTTAAAATGAGATTAAAATGTGTAATCATTTTCCAAAAAAGGAAAATGACGTGATACATGGGACAGACAGAAACGACAACGTGGACATAATACGTGAGACGGAGGGAGTAATTTTTTTCAATATAATTATTACAAAATTCAAACTCCAAACAAACCCAACTTAAAAATCCATATTTCAAAATCTTTGAAAATCTAAATTTAAAATCCAATCGCTGAACAAAAACACCTTAAGTAGAGCAGGAAAGCTTGTGATATCTGTGCGCGTGGGATTGCATATCCACGCAACCAGATTCACACGTTTCAAGTCTTTCCTTGATTAATGACAATAATAATAGTAATTATAATACATTATTCATTCATTTATGGGTCCTCTTTCGTTGTTTTATTAATCAATCGTGTTTATTGAATACTGCTATATTTGCTGTATATCATAGTGAGCTGGACTATACGATTAATATAGGTAACGGTTAGGGTGAAAAATATAAAAATAGTATACAATTTTATTATAGACAACTTTATTGTACAATATATGTTGTGCATAATAATGACATGTGATGTTGCTTCATAATTATAGCGTGCTGTATAACAGTACGTGGTGTGCTGAAATCAAATAGTATTTGCGTTGTATAAGACTATAGCATGTGTTGTTTAGTTCATGTGTTGTTTAGTTCATGTGTTGTATTTGGTGTTGTTGATTCATAATTACAAGTGTGTTGTATAACAGTATGTAGTGCGCTGGAATCAAGTATTGATTGTGTTGTATAAGACCATAGCATGTGTTATTATTTCATGTGTTGTATTTGTATTATATTAATGCAGATGGTGTGTTACTAGTAGTAACACCGTGTGCTGCGATGTGTTGTCAGTACAGTGCTGAATTTTGTAGCCTCCGCCATATATATATATATATATATAATCTCCTAAGAATTTAATTTAAATTTAAGGCAAAATTGTCTATAACTCTTTTGTGGTTTCGAAACTGAGCGTAAATCCCCCTTTACTTTAAAAATTGCATGGCGTCACCTTATATTTAAAAAATGTCGCAGGAAACCCGTGTGATTTTAAAACTCAGTTTAAATCCCCACTTTATTTTGAAAAATTGCATGGCGCCTTTCTTATACTTTAAAAAATATTTTATGAAACACCATATTATGCAAAACATACAAATAGGAAAATCATCTTCTCATCATACAAATGAGTTTTTATGGTGGTAAGATTTTATGTAATGTTTTTTAAATTATAAAATGATGTCATGCAATTATTTTTAAATATAAAAAAAATTTACGCTAAACATTAAAAATACAGGAAAATTATAAACAATTTTTAAAACGATGGCGAGTCATTCAATTACCAAATAGGCAAAAGATCGGGTGCGACAAATGAACGTAACTGAAAAATATTGTCGTATCTATCTAGGAATAATTAAGTTGCAAGAACTAGACCCAATTCAATCATTATTTAGGGTTGCAAAAGTGGTGTTGAGAACCTCAGACAGTATAGCACAACATAAAAGGTTTGCGGCCGAAACAATAAAAAACGAACACAGCGTGTTTCGCGTGCCCGCTTAGAATATGTCCAAAATTTCCCAATGCCTCTTTCTCTATATATAGAACTATCCTTAGCCTTTCCCCTTAATTCCTGCAAAAAGGGTTCCAAGGGTGTGCACACTAGTGTAATTGGATGGGTTTAGGATTTTTTTTTATTTTTTTATTATTTTTTTTATTGGGATTGTTATGGATTTTTGTTATGAGATTTGTTGAAATGAGGTGAATGTGATGGTGTTTGAATGGATTTTGACACATGGTATTGAGTATTAAAAACAAAATAAATTTATAATATTAATGTGTATTAAATTTTGATAATTATACCTTAGTAAAATAGAGTACTAAATATGAATGTTATTTTTACAAAAAAAAATTCTTCTATAATATATCTCGATATGATATATATACCAATTTTAAAAATTTCAAAAACAAAAAGAAAGGAAAAAAAATATTTGAATGTATATATATTACTCCCCATTTGGTATTACGGTTCGACATGAAATTTAAAAAAAAAAATTGAGAAAAGTAACAAAGTAAAAAAAATAATTTAAAATATTTTTGTAAATTCAGTTAGTAATTAATAATCATGCAGAAAAAATATAATAAAAATAGTAGTTATTATTGTAAATATATATATATAACTTAAAGTATTAATCAAATATTGAAATTTTGACTATACCAAAATTAGGAATTAATTAAATTTAACGAATATATTAAATAAAACTAAATAAATTTAACAGATCGAAATAGACTATTGTAGTATATATATATATATATATATCTCTTTAAAAAATATGTGAGACCATAGTGCCCATATAACGTAAAATGATTTGAGATGCAAAACAAATTAATAACTTCTAAGGATATATTTGTGAAAAAAAAAAAAAAGAAAAAACATATTTTTCCAAAAAAAAATAATATATCATATACATTTATTATTTTTATTTTATCTGTACAATTCCCTAAATATCAATAAATCTATTCAAACCAATTTTTTTTTTTTTTTGAAAACAAGATCACTGATATTACTGATAAATGCGAATATAATAATACACAATGAATCGTACCAATTACTAATTAATATCACAATGAATCTATTCAAACCATTTACAAAAACAAACATACTAAAATTAAAATGACTACTATTCTATTAATATAGTTCATAATAAAAATATACGGTTCTAAGGTCCTATTTACTTTTTGCATGTTGATCATTAAATATTAATTATTATATGAAAATGTAATACAAATTAATCGAAAAAGACAAAAATACTTATATTATTGTCTTATAATATAAATATAAATCTATTTTTAATATTAAATACAGTTACGCAGAAGGTAAATGAGACTAGCCTAACGGAAAGAGTATTTTGTTTTTATATAAAATACTAAATCAAAATACTATTAAATCACAACTTCAATCTCAAACCAAACCAAACAAATCCTAAGTTTGTTTGCTTTGTATATCAAACCAAAATTTCTATTATTGATATAGGACAGTTCTCAATAAAAATATATTATATTTTTTTACAAATTATTAAATAAAAATATTATTTAGACAAAAAACTTGAACCATAACCTCAATTTCAAATTAAAATAAAACAAACTTATAATTTTGGCTTCCAAATCTACTATTCATTATCATTTTTTTTTTCCTGAAATATAAATTAATTTTTAGTATAACAAAAATCAAACATTTAATTTATATTTTTAGAAAGCAAAAAAAAAAACTAATTGAATAGTAAAAAATTTCTAAACTTCCCCTTACAAACATGCCCCTAAAGCTTCCTCTTACACCTCTCCCTATAAATAAGTTTACATATAGCTCCCAATGTCACATTCATTTGTGATCTTTTTCATCGTCTATTACAATGGCAAGATTTCTTATCGCGTCGATTCTCTTGGCGACCATTTTGTGCGTCGCAGCGAGCCTCGAAGTGACTGAAAAGGACCTCGTTTCGGATGAAGCCCTGTGGGGTTTGTACGAGAGATGGAGAAGCCAACACACGGTGTCGAGGGATATCACTGAAAAACATAAACGTTTCAACGTCTTCAAGGCTAATGCGATGCACATTCACCAAGTGAACGGCATGGACAAGCCTTACAAGCTCAAGCTCAACAAGTTTGCCGACATGACCAATTACGAATTCCGCAAATTCTATAGCTCGAACGTGCGCCACCACCGCATGTTCCATGGAAGTAGAGCCGAAACCGGATTTATGTATGAAAATTCGCACGTGCCTCCGTCTATTGATTGGAGGAAGCTCGGCGCTGTCACTGCTGTAAAAAATCAGGGCAATTGTGGTACGTAAGTTTATAGATTTTCTGAAAGTTTATTCGGATTTTTCTTTTTCTTTTGTTGTTATCTAAATTTATTTTCGTTTTTTTTTAGTAAAAAAAATTACTTTTTCTATACCCTAAAAAGTAAAAGTTTCTATTTTTACTTATTTCTCTTATATCCTGTACTCGATCAAATAAGCATACAATTGGATGACAGATGAAGTAATAATTTGAGAAAAATTGATGTTTAATTTGAATAGTCACTTACAAGATCTTGTTGGCATGTAAACTCAAGTTACCTGTTAAATCAGCTAATTAACAACTAATAATTAATTGTCAAATAGTCAAATAGTTTGGTAGTAATTTTAATACAATAAAAAAAAAGTCAAATAATTCTAAATGTTGCTGTTTATGCAATATATATATATATATATATATTTTAATAATATATCTTTGTTTGATATATGTCAAATTTATTAAAAGAAGAAGAAGAAATAAATATTTGATATGTTACCTAAGTTCATAGAATGAAAATTAAAATTTTAGTATAATATTTGGAAAAATCGATATTTGATTCTATAATTTTTTAAAGAAATAATAATGAATAGTGATAGTTTTTTGAGAGGATCCATCGATACACTATTTGTGATTATCTCTATGCCGATTTATTATAGGTAGCTGTTGGGCTTTCTCGACTATCGTCGGAGTCGAGGGGATCAACAAAATCAAAACGGGGCATCTTATATCCTTGTCGGAGCAAGAATTGGTTGATTGCGACAACGATAATCACGGCTGCCACGGGGGACTAATGGAGAATGCATACAGGTTCATCAAGAAACAAGGGGGAATTACTACGGAAGCCGGGTACCCATACAAAGCCCAAGACGAGTTCTGCGATTCATCAAAGGTAACAACTTTTAGGGGTAAAAATAGGCCAGATTAGGCCAGATTTTGGTTAAATAAGTCTGACCTTTTTAAAAATCTGACCTACAAAAGACAACATAATATTTTTATCTGTTAGTTTATTTATTTATTTACAAATTTAGTATTAGAAAAAAAAATTAATGTACATACAATTATTTAATATATATAAAAGTTAAAAAATTCTATTTTTTATAATAAATTTATAATTATAACTATTTAATAAATATTATTATTAGATAGAAAGTTATTTTTAATATATAATAATAAAGAAATATTTTTATAAAAAAACTAATAATAAATAGACCGACCTGTTAATTAAAAAAAATTTTTTTTAAAGCCTAAGTTTGTTCTATTTAAGTAAAAATACTTTAAAAAAATTTTTGATCTCGACCTTTTTAGTAAATAGATCAGATTAAGTTAAGCCTTGTCTAGGCCAGGCCGTAGGCCTTTAACTAGCCTATTTCTATCCCTAAGCATTTCCAAACATGGGTTAACTAAGGTTAACATGACCAAGGATACGTATAATTATATATATATATATATATATATATTGAAAGGTAAAAAACATGCCGGCAGTGAAGATAGACGGATACGAAAATGTGCCTAAAAACAACGAGGAGGCGCTGACGAAAGCCGTAGCAAACCAGCCTGTGTCCGTAGCAATTGATGCTAGCGGTAGCGATATGCAATTCTACTCGGAGGTGATCAGATCAAATCGTATCGTATCGTATTAATTTTTGGATGACGTGGAAATGAATGAATGAAAGAATAAATTTGGGTGCAGGGAGTGTACACGGGAGGAGAGTGCGGGACAGAGCTGGACCATGGCGTGGGAGTGGTGGGATACGGGACAACAGTCGAGGGGACAAAATATTGGATTGTAAGAAACTCATGGGGGCCTGAATGGGGAGAAGAGGGCTATATTCGGATGCAGCGCGGTGTTTCTGCTCCGGAGGGGCAGTGCGGCATAGCCATGGAGCCTTCCTACCCTGTCAAGTTGTCGCCCCACAAAGACGAGCTCTGATTAATTTTAATTTAATACTCCCTATTTAATTAATTACTAAGATATAAGGGACTCTCTCTCTCTCTCTCTCTCTCTCTAGATATATATATATATATATATATATACATGTGGTAGTGTTGTGGGTGGCTGATTCACAAAATTAGAATAAAGGTTGGTGTTGCAAGGATGATGGTTGGGTTTGTTTTAATTAGCAATGTTTAGAGGCATAATTCACTACAAATATTATAAAAAATTATAAAAATATATTAATACAATTTATAAAAATATATATTTTATTCAATAAAAAAATCAACAATTCAAAAATATGAATATATATTAATAAAATATAATATATTTTATTACAATAGTGGTATAATAGCATTTGGTTTTAAATTGAAAAACAAAATTTGTTCTTGGGTAATTCTCCAGAGTTTTGTTTCATTTTTCATCAATTTTAGAAATGATAAATCATTTTTGTTTTTCGAAAATCTGGTTGAATCGAAATTATTCTATGAAATTCAATTCTGGCTCTGATTTCTCTTTGTGAAGGCTCAGAAACTTTGTTCTGGTTCCTTTTAAATCCTTTACAATTTTGGATTTCTTTTAAAGGTTTTTAATTTTTTAAAATAGATAATTCAAAATTCAAATTCTGTTTTCTATTTTTATAAAATTCAGTACATAAAGTGTGTTTCTTTTGAGAAATAATTTTCTCATTATTTTTTAAAAAATATTATTTTGTTCAAAATCAAAGAATATTGTGTCTAAGGAACTCATATTGTTTGAATTGTTATGCTAACTTTTGTGGTTTTCAATGGGCACATTAGTCAAGACTCCAAGAAAATCGACATTAAAAGTGAACACATTGGCAGTCTACACAAGGTTTTCATAAAATTGAAATATCTGCTAGTAAAAGGTTTAACTCTCTCTTCTTATGATATATGTGCTTTAAGTAAAATTTGAAATTCGGTGTAGTTTTAGTCACTGCTGATTGCAGTTTAAAAATCTTGATTCTGTGATATCGTCTCAAACAAGCCGCTGTGAAAATGAATAATGAACCTTTTCTAAGGTTCAGATCGCTACCGGGTACAACTAATTTTACCAAGGGAAGTACCTCTTTAGGACCATACAGCACCTCAAGGGTCTTTGTACAAGCATGACAAAGGCAATGCAAAAACTGGGGACGTCTATTATTCAAATTTACCGTTAAGCCAACAAGACGACCATATAGCAATCGCACAAAAATACCTCAGCAGTTGGACCTCGCCCTCAAGAATGTCTAGAGTCTTATCAATGACTTCGCCTGACGCTGGACCAACCAATGTTATCCAAAAATCAACATTGATGTGTTAGTTGACAATATTGTAACCAAATATATAGCTCAATACGATGATCAGACATTCAATTGGATGCATCAGTGGATTACAATCCAGGGTATATGGATGTAGGTGCACAGTCCAAGTCAGAAATGTTAGAAACATCGTCCATCAAGTTAGGGATTGGATTTATTTTGCTCATTATGTCGTAACCACTCTTCACCAAAAATTAATATTTTGAGACATAGATCCGACATCTATTGGACACAACACCGGATTATATGAATTGACACCATTATACTGGAAGAATATAAATCCGGTTGTGACTACAGCCACTATGGAAACTACACCTTGGGATTTATGTCAATTTTTTTTTTTTTTTTTCACAAAAAAAAAATAAAATAAAATAAAATTATATAGCAGGGGCTGCGCCCGGGTGGGCTGTCTACGTACCCAAACGGGATCAAGCCATACGTAGTTTTAGATACAAGCTATACAGTCTTAGTAAAGCAAACAGACAAAACCAGCTAATAGTAAGTATCTACCCTAAAAAAGACATAAATCAAATACTAAGTGATCAAGTCTAAGTAACAACAATCAATGCTAAGCCTAGAATCAAAGAGTAGGGAGAGGCCTACTACTTGAAACGGAAGGACGGAAGGCCATCGGCGTCCGCTCGAAGGAGGCCTTGAAGCGACCAAAGAATATCTGAGGGGAGAAGCGTCGTCTCCATCGGGAGGGAAACCGCCAAAGTCGCTAAGGCATCTGCTACGCGGTTCCCATCTCGAGATATATGAGATATCCTCAAAGTTGAATCCCTAAGTCGTAGTCGAACATGCATAAGGCAGCGCTGGGATTTATGTCAATTTACGTACCAAAAGTTCCAGATGTTATGCCCGGCCCAAGATGGGGCCGACCACGATAACTAAAAGCTAATATATCGGCAGCAATTCAGAACTAGGAGCGGATAGACGACACTTTCAAGTCTGTATCCTTAGCCGAAATCTGGATTGCTACATACCAAATTGAGGCCACGGTGGAGCAATGGCCTGGCGATAATTCTTCTTCTATCGCCAAACCATACCCCACAACATATTCTAAAGAAAGTCTTTGTGAGTCTGGATTTTTGCATTTATGAGATTTTATTGCCATGCGGCTTCAACAAGTTCAGCCATATGACAAGAGTGGGGCCTATGCTATCCCATAAAATTAATATTAAAAAATAAAGAATTTTGCTGAGCTTGAATGGAGTTCACAGTCGATGAGCGTTTGGGATCTTGATTCCTCGTTTTCTTCGATTGCATATGCTATCATTAATTGGATATCGATTGTCCGTGTCAGGGATCAATAGGTAGCCCAGATCAATTGAAACCTAGACAGTGCAGGGCGCCTGAAAAGTGTGTAGGAACACCCAAACAGGGTGTAGTGACGCCTAGATAGGGTGTAAGGATGCCTGGGGCGTCCAGTCAGACGCAAATAGTGCCCTAATTAATAAAGATGGCATTCGGACCAATACAGAAGTCGTCTGGACCGACACAGAAGTTGTCTGGACCGATGCAGAAGTTGTCTTGACTGATACAGAAATCGTCTCGATTGATGCATGAGTCCTCTACACTGATGCAGGAGTCGTCTAGACTGATGCAGAAATCGTATAGAATGATGCAAAAATTGTCTAGACTGATATGCATAAAACATCCAGACTGATGCACAAGAAGTATAGATTGATGCAAAAATCGTCAAGATTGATGTAGAAGTGGTTGGAGCTAATGCATATGACACCTGAACTGATGCAGAAGTCGTCCAGACTGATGCATAGGACACCCGGGCTGATGTAAAAATCACTCGAACAAATACAGGTGGCGCCTGGATTGATACAGAAGTTGTCCAGAGTATTGCAGAAGTTGACTGGGCTGATGCAAAAGCTGTTTGGATAGAAGGAACGACGCCAGGATAGGTGTGCGGACTGTGTCAGTTGATTACAGGGGCGCTGCCAGATATATTTTAAATAGCCCGGACGCCGTCATATTTATTTTCCAGAGGGCCGGGCCGCTGCCAAATAAATTTTAGATAGCCGGGCGTTGGCAGATTTATTTTTCAGAAGGCATGGCGGTGCAAGATTTATTTCATAGATTTAAGGATTAACTTCATATGTGATTAAAAAGGTAGAGCCGTATTATCTTCATATGTGATTTAAAAGGTAGACCCTTATTTTACAGAAGCAGAGGCACCCAATACTCATAAAATATTATTTTTATTTTATTTTATTTTATCAAAAGACTGAATATATTTTCAGATATACTTACAGAAGCCTTGGGGTATGCCCCAACCTTATAAATATTATATTATATTTTAAGGTAAACTCTTTTTTTAATCCTGTAACTCGACCCTTTTATCATTTAATTTTCTAATTTGAGACTATTTTAATATAGTCTCGCAAGTGAAATTTTTTTTTTTCAATTTAGTCCTTAGTGCCTATGTAGTATCTGTGTGGCATGTTGACCGACACATGTCGCTCAGATCTGCGCCACGTGACTGACACGTGTCTTCCACGTAGATAATTTTATTTATTAAAATAAATAAATATATAAAATATATAAAAATAAAATAAAATATAAAAATATAAAAAATTAAGATTAAAAAATAAAAATAAAAAATAAAAATTGTCTATATGTCCGTTAGGTTAGCTAGATGGCCACTACATGGATAATTTATATTTTTATATTAAAAATAAAATATAAAATATAAAAAAAATTAAAAAATATATTAATATATAAATTATTAAAGGTTATGTGGGTCTGACTTGACGGATATATATATAATTTTTTATTTTTTATTTTATTTTATTTTTATATTTATATTTGTCATTTTTTATATTTTTAAAAGATAAAAAATAAAAATAAAAACAATCCACATGGCGGACACGTGTCAGCCATATGGTGCTGACCTGGCCTATACGCCACATAGACATTGAGGACTAAATTGTGAAAAATTTTCACTTGCGGAACTATTTTAACACGGCCTCCGGTTACTAAACTAAAATAATAAAATGTCAGTTACATGACTAAAATATCAAGTTACCCTATTTTTTATTTTATTTTATCGGAAGACTGAATATATTTTCTGTTTACAAAAACTCACTTATTTTACAGAAGAGAAGAGATGGAGCCCCCAACATTACTATTTATTTTATTTTGTCACATCTATTTTATAAAGTTGCTTTGTAAATTTAAAAAGTTAAAAAATAATTTATTTGTGATTATTTCTTGTACCGAAGAGTCTTCGCGTTGTCAGTAAAACAGAACATCGTGTCGATTCATAAGACAGCGTTTAGATTTCATAAATTGGTCGACATATTCATTGTAAAACGGCAGATTTAGTATCTCAATCAAAATTATTATTTCTTTTTATTTCCTGCAATTTATTTAAATTTCTCACACTGTCTTCTTTTTCCATAATTTATTTACTATCAAACGTCTAGCCATTACGTTCTATACAAATTAAGGATTTAATCACTCTAATTTTTTTTTAAAAAAAATCTTTGTGGTTATCATCCAATTGAAAAAAATTCAACCCTGTAGCAAAAACCTATATGAAACATGATCCATTCATTAAAAAAAAAAAAAAAAGGTCTATTAAAAACACTTCTAATTCAAATATAAATCCAAAATAAAACTATTTTATTAAAATTCTCAAAATATTGAGAATCGAAAAATTAAAGGTGTTAAACTCATAAACATCAAATATATAGATCACTTTTCAAATATACTAAATATATAGACCCATGCACATAGTACAAATCTAAACTCTTACTCCCTTAGTCCCATAACAAAATATTCATTTGTCTTTTGCATCATTGTACTTAACATTGAAAATATCCTTATATTTGTATAATTTTTTATACAAATGTCATTATATTAGTATTATAAGATACCAATAGAGGTATTTGTCATTTTCTCTTTATTTGTAATACGATTTGATATATAATTAATATTAAAAAATCAACACACAAAGTAAATGGATACCTTGTTATGGGACGAAGGAAGTATTATATTTGAATTTTTTGTCACAAATTACTTTTCAAATTTTAAATTATATAGACCCAACAACATATGATAATAATTTTCTACTAACAATTTATACAATATATGTTGTATACAATATTAGTAGTATCATTTTCCTATCAAGGTTGATTAGTTTTAATTAGCATCCTAATCATTTTCTTGTGTTTAATTGGAAGTTTGAATTTTTTAGTTAAAAAAAAAAGAGATTAAATTAAAATAGTTGTATATTCTGCTAAAAATATGCATCAATATGGTATTTAAAATATAAAATTAATTTTTATATAATATAAAAAGTAAAAAATAAATATTTAATTTAATAATTTTTTAGCGAAAATATTGAATGAAAGTACACATCAATAAAAATCTTCTAACCAAACAAAGCATTCTTCCGTTACTATGATGATTACGGCTAATCAATATGATATTTGATATTTAAATATAAATATGTATTAAATTATAAATGTACTAGTTTCAATGTAATACTCCCACGCAATGGACTTCTTGGTCACTGTACACACGAAAATTTAGGATAACTATAATTAGTAGATAATTAATAATGTATTAGTAAAAATAATTAATATATAATATAAATTATTATAAATTAAAATTAAGATAACTAATTAGTTTAATTAAAATTAAAAAAATTTAAAAGAAGATTAAAATGAGTAATTATTTTTCAAAAAAGAACAGTAACATGACATATGGAACGGATAGAAACGACAACATAGACAAGGTAAGTGGAACGGAGGGAGTAATATGCTAATTTTAAAATTTGATTATTGTGTGCTGAAATATAAATATAAATATGTGCAAACTACAAAGTATACTATTTTAGATGGAACACCATGCACTGTGGTTGCTGTGCTAAAATGTTCAGTACATGCCTGCTATTTAAATATAAATATGTTCTATTTAAACTATAGCAAAATTTGACCCAATACGTTAGCACATATAGCTATTATTTGAGTAAAAAAATTGTTAAATACATAAAGTTCTAAACATATATGATTCATTTATTTAAATATTTAAAAATTTAAATTAGCAAACTATAAAAAAATATAAAACAATATATATATATATATTAGCAAAAACAGAGCATGACAATTTTCCCAAACAAAAACATGCTTTAGATGATACCAACAAAAGAGAATAAATTTTTTATGGGCATTTGATTCCCCAAATTACTGAAATTTTTTAATTTATCACAGAACAATGTCCAACAGTACACTAAGATTTGGCCACGAAGTTGCACCTTCTGTCTGATGTCTACATTAGATTGTTTTTGTCTTTTTTTTAACATATGGGAAGGGACAAAAAAACAGGCAAGAAAGAATCCAAGGCCTCGGATAACGGAAATATGATGGCCATTTTTTATTCGTCCCCAAGAAAATGTGGTAAGGTAAGGACATCATAATTCATAATTCATAATTCAAATGCTTGAAAAGAATCCAAACTGTAAAGTGGATAAAGTAGAGACATCTGACCTGATACAAAAACCTTCCTTTATTCTCCTCTCCTCTGCATTCCATTCTGGTTAGACACTTTAAGATCATCATCTTCCTTCATGGGATTTGCAATTTTATGGTTTCTAGCAGTTATAACCCTAATTGCAGGTTGTGAAAGCAGTAAAAGTATGGAGAAAACCTGTCATTCTAACGACTTGAAGGGCCTGTTAAGTTTCAAGACAGGGATCCTTATCGATACCTCGGGCAGGCTCCGTCAATGGTCCGGCCGAGATTGCTGCAAATGGGAAGGAATCGCCTGCGACAAAACTAGCGGTAGAGTGATCGAAATGAGTCTCCCGGGATTTTCGACTTCCAGGGACAGTCCAGTTCAGGCGTGGATGAATGGCTCCCTGTCATCTTCGATAACACTTTTGAGCTTTCTTGAAGTCATTGATCTGTCAGGGCTCTCAAGCTTAAGAGGAAACCTTCCTCCATCGATCGACATTCATCTTCCGGGGCTTAAGAAGCTCTCGTTATGGGGGAATTCCATGGATGGTCCGGTGCCAGAAAGCATCGGCAAGCTGTCGAAGCTCGAAGAGCTGTATTTGTTTGAGAACAGCTTTTCGGGTTCTCTGCCTGGAAGCCTCGGCAATCTTTCGAGGCTGAGAAAATTGAATTTACATTCGAATAGGTTTTTGGGTGGCGTTCCTGCAACCATAACGAACTTGATAAACCTTGAAAGCCTCAGCCTGCACAGCAATTTCTTGACAGGTAATATACCCGACGACATTGGGAATTTGCAGGTTCTGAAAGAGCTTGATCTGTCCTGCAACTTATTTACTGGGAAGATCCCTTCTTCTATCACCAATCTAAAAGCCATTTCAGTTCTCTACTTGGACAACAATCATCTTGTTGGAGAGATACCGAAGCTTTCGAGCCGTGACCAAATGGCTTCCTTAGCTTTTCTCAGATTGAACGACAACAGCTTGACGGGGAGCATACCGGAGTCCCTCGGGTACCTGTCTTCTCTTCAGAGAATTTCATTGGCAAATAATGAACTCCATGGGTCAATTCCAGGTAGTTTAGGTAATCTTAGATCTTTAACAGAGATATATTTCAATGGCAACAAGTTATCCGGGAGAATACCTGATTCGATAGGCCGGCTCTCGGAGCTTATAATGTTTAGAATCTCTCACAACATGATTGAAGGATCGTTGCCTCATCAGATGGCCTCTTTGGCAAATCTTCAAACACTTGATGTGTCGTTCAACCAGATGAGCCTTAGCTCCATCCCCAAGTGGCTCCTGGAGTTGCCATCACTGTCTCGGATTTACTTGGCAAGGTGCAGCATCCATGGCGGATTGTCAGAGGATTTGTTAACCACTCCAAGTCCGGTGCAAGAGCTAGATTTGTCAGCCAATCATCTCACGGGGAGCTTACCGGAGTGGATTGGGAGCTTGATCGAACTCTATGCATTGAATTTATCAATGAACGCTCTTGACGGCAGAATTCCTAATTCAATCACAAAATTAGGAACCCTAGGGTTGCTAGACCTTCACTCGAACAAACTAACAGGCTCGATCGAACCAATTTTTCTGGTGCAGAGCAAATACAGCGGTGGATCGTTGGTATTCATCGACCTATCGGACAATAATTTCACGAGCGGTATGGAGAAAATCGGGACGGAAACACAACTCGAAATCCACCACATAAATCTGTCTCGCAACGAACTCAGAGGCAAGTTACCTGAATCAATCGGGAGATTACAATCAATGGAGAGTCTGGATCTGAGCACCAACTCCTTCGATTCCGATATTCCAGCGACGCTGGCCAACGCGAGCTCATTGAAGAGCCTAAAGCTGCAGAAAAATCACTTCACCGGAAAAATCCCGAACGGATTTCTGAATTTGAAAAATCTCAAGGAATTGGACCTCTCCGATAATTTTCTAGAAGGAAGAATACCCTACGGAAAACCTCTGAACAATTTCCCACGAAAATCGTACGCTGGAAACAAAGGCTTATGCGGCATCCCACTCGACCCCTGTAGGCCCTAAACCCTAATTTCCTTCCACACCAATCAAAATCATTTCAATCATCAATTGAAGAAAGAATGATCTGATCACTTTCCTCTGTACTCCAATTCAAAGATGCATGAATGAAGGTACAAATTCGTTGAAATTTTACCCGATTTACAAGAAGCAAGCAATGGCAGAAAACAACATACTTATTCAGAAAGAAACAGAAATAGCATTTATTCATCATTATCCTCAAGGGTTTCCTCAAGTTGAAGCTGTTGATAATTCACATAATCAATTTCATTCAACCTTATACAACACAAAATCAGCTCTGGCAGCTCCTCAGCCTTGTTTCCCTGCAGCAAAATTAACGTGCAAAAAAAGCATATGATCGTCATCAACAGAGCTTTACTGCAAACTGAAAAATATGAGGTCAGTAATAACAATAAGCTTGCCTGAATCGTCAATCCGAAGTCCAAAACACAGAGCTTTAACCGATCGAGGAATGTCTCAAATCCCTTTCTCGAAATGTAGCTGAATCTATGCATATCCAGATCAATTTCGAAATAATTTTCGCCCTGGGGAAAGAAGAAATCGTCTAAGAAACAGCCTAATCATAACACAGACACGGAAGTTCATCGGATCAAAAAGCTTAAGCTCACCAAGTAAAATTCATGTTGAGGGCGTGAAAGCACGGGTTTTTCATTATAGGCGTGCATGAGCTTCCTCTCCGCAGCGCTCATGGGAAGATCGTCGACATTCACAACACGTCCCAATATCTTTAGCCGTTCCCGGAATGGTATAGCTACCTCTGTACGGAAGCCCCTGATCTTTTCAACTTCATCGTCTATTAACTTCTGCAGACGCAACAAAAATGTCAAGCAATCAGAGCATTTTATTGTTGCAGGAATTGTTTTCAGAAGGATCTATTGATTCGATCACCTTGATACTTTCTTGAAAATGGGCTGGAGAATCCTTGGCAAACGTTTCCGAAAGCTTGTAATACATAACAAAGCTGATTCCTTCCCCGTCGGTTTCGCCCTGAAAGATCGCTGCCGGATACACTGGAATCTGTCGAAAGAGAGTTCAGACTATTGTCTCTATGACTGAGAAATCAACGTCGATTTATCACTTCTGTGTATGCAATACCTGAACATTGACGACAAGTAATGGCGGAAGTTTTTCGGAAGAATGAACAAGAGGAAGCTCCACAAATCGAGCGATGTGGTTGATTTTTCTCTGCGACAGAAATACGTCGAGACCAACTGGATAATATGCCGCACAATTCGAGGCAAATTCCTTCCTCTTATCCCTGCAACGGCACATGATGTAATAAAGTTACAAGAAACAAGAAATCACAAGGAGATGAAGATCATTGAGTTATTACTTAAAATAATTCGCCCCACGAATCCTGAAACTCCCCGGCTCGACATCCGACCAACTATCAGGCACTCTCTTTCCAAGAGGACAATACGGCACTTGCGAGCCCGCAAGGGGTCTTTGCAGTAGCGTCTTTGAAGAAACTGAAAAACCGAAAATGTAAATAAAACATAACGAAAACAGGGGAACAATGACAAGAATTTTATTCGATACTCACCGAGCATGGCTGCAGGATGACCTTCCTTCCACTTGAAGGACAGTTTCAAGGCAGCCTTTTTCTTCATCCCGGAAGGACTCGTCGGGCCTCTCTTTTCAATTGGGGAAACGGCAGAAGCAAGGCACGGCAAGCAGTTGTTCGAAAGAATCCCACAACTATCAAACATGTTATCGTTATGGCCTGCAGTCTCCTCAGCAGATAATGTGATTTCATCCACAGAAACATGCTTTGCTTCATCAAATTTCTCTTTGAAATCAGAGTTAAGTCCAGGATTCCTCGTAGGCGATTCCTTAGAATGATCGGATAAAGAAGAATGTCGGGCGTCGGCACGGCTGGAGTTTCTAGGAGAATCAACAATGGCAGCCGGTGCTCCATCTGCAGAAGTATGGAATCTATTTTAGGACAAATGCTCAAGAATGGAGACACAAGTTAAACAGATGATCTTCACAAACCATCGGGAAGACTTTGGAAATCTTCGTCTTCATCGTCGCTCCAGTCGGATTCAAGAACAGTAGCAGAATCAAACCATGATTCCTCAGTACTTCCTGGCATTGAACAGAAACAAATTCCTGATGAATAAGCACTGCAAGAATCGTGCCAAAAACCAAAGATATATATAACATCATGTATAAGATTCCAGTGTCTTTTACAGATGAATTACCAACAGAACCAAAAGGGGAAATCAACTACTTCCAAAACCTTTCTCTAGTGACCTCATAACTTCTTACCGCACCATTTACGGACAAGACGACAGTCCTTTTCAAAACAGATTCGGGAATAAAGATAATCACTCTGAAACTATAATCTCCATGAAATTATCAGATAATTATTGCAGCTACAAACTCGCATTACAACTTCATATCTAGAAATTACAGCAACACCTGAAATCACATACTGTTATTTGAAAACAAAAAAGAAAAAAGAAAAAATACAAACCGCGAATGGTGGGATTACTAAAGGGACGATCCAGCGGCAAAGCAGCAGCTCCGAACTTGTCGATTCTATCCGATGATCGATCGGACAAATGAGAAGGAATCCTTTTCTTCAAAACCTTCCTTCTTTTCCGAATCCTCTTCCTCCTCGAACCTCCCAATCTTCCGCCGCCGCCGCTTCCGACGCAGTTCCCCGGACGGGAAACGCACGCCCCCATCCCTCCGCTTCTCGACGCTCCTCCACCACCCTAATTTTTATTTAATTTTTTTTTTTTTAAAAAAAAAAGAGAAATTGAGGATGAGAGGGGATTGAAAAGGGAAAAAGAAAGCAGGTAGATAGGAAAAACTACGAGCAAGCAATCGGTAGTGTGCAATATCAACCACAGCAATAGAAGTCTAGAGCGAGAGACAGGTAATTCTAGAGAGAGAAGGGCGAGGCAGGCCAGGAAGGCAAGACTGGGGAAGACAAGTCCGATTCAATTCAACATCAACTCTAAATAAAATAAAAATAAAAAATAAAAAAGAGGGTTTCCCTTTTGGCCAATAACTGCTGTGAATATATCTCTTCCCACTCAGCACGGAATCAAAAAAAAAAAAAGATTTCTTTTTAATCTTCGAACGGGCAGATCAGTTTCTTGCGTGTGGAGAAAATTAAATAGGTGTGAATCCAGAGATGAGATGAGATGAGATGAGACGAGGGATGCAAAGTCAAAATATAGGTGTCTGCTATTGTTTGTTTGGTTGTTCACATTGAATTGAATTGAGGAAGATGAAGTGAATTAGCGATGAATGAAATCGGCAATGGTGGTGGGCCTCGGACGCGACACGTGGCGGGAAAGGAGACCCTCACACGTGTGGGACAGGCTGGAACTGGGAGTTCCTCGAGTCCGTACGTGTGCATTTGTGACGTCACTCTGTGCTGCTCGCCACCGCACCTTACCCAAAATATTTCCGTCTTTGTATTCATCGTATTATATCATTTATATGGGTCCACTTCTTTTACTTAATTATGAACTTAGATCTCTTTGGTATCCAGAATTAAATCGTGAAAGAATAACAGTAGAAAATGAAATTTTGAAAACTGAAGATTCCATAGAAAATAAAATTTGATTCTTTTATTAAGTGAAATAAGAATTTTAACTACAAAGTACTATTTAAAAAATACTTTAGTTATATTTTATTGTTTACAAATTCTTTATTTTACCTTATTTTTACACTAAAAAATAAAAAACTTAATTATCTTTATACTATTTTTAATTGCGTCTCGTATTAAAAATTATATCAAATTAGATGAAGGTAATATATTAATTTAATACTCCGTTAGTCTCACTTTCTATATCCATTTTTTCCCACTTATTTATCACTTTTTTTTCTTTTTGAAAAAAATGTTAGTACTTTAGTTTTATTTTAAATTTTTTTTAATTTAAATTTTTTTACTTTTGATCAGACTAATTAATTATTTTAATCTTAATGTATAATTATTTTATTATACTTCATCCGTTTCAAAAGTAAATATTTATTTGCTTTTTGCACGTAATTTTAAAAATATTAGTATTATATTTAGATATAGTAAAAATAAAGTAGAAATGACTAAAATAACTTTATTAGTATGTGATATAAAGGTAATGATATTTGTGTAATATATTGTAAATTGTAAGGATATTTGTAATGTTAGGTACATAGTAAATTTATTAAAAAAAATGAATATTTTGTTATGAGACGGACTAAAATAAAAAAAATGAATATTTTGTTACGAAACAAAGAGAGTATTATAATTATTTTTAATAATATATTTTTAATTACTTATTAATTATATCAATTTAAAATTATTTTATCTACAGCAAAAGGGACACAATAAGTAAGTATATTACTTTCCATTTAAAATAAAATAGTTACTCAAATGCACCCTTAATTATTAATTAGGCGTCGGTTTCCCGCGAAGACTTCTGAAAATGTAAAATGAATGCATATCTGCATTGGGATTCTCATTTTATTTCGATGCAACCAACGTCTTTGGTCAAATTACAAAGCAATAAAAAATTTAAAAACCATAATTATAATATAATATACTTTCAGCTACTGATTACCATAGATCTTTTATTTGACCCCAAATCATGATGATTATTTATTATTATTTTATAATTGGACGAAATAAAATATTCATGGGGCAATCATCGTCGTAAATAAAAAAGGGATAGGCCTTTATGAATATTGGGCTTTGACATACTAATATTTTGGGATCAAGGATTTTCAATAAATAATTAATATGGCCCAACTCACATGTAAGACTGCTCAAATTTTAAATATATAATTCTTATAAAATTAAAAATACGGTCAAAAATGTATATCACATATGCTGTCTACGTAGTTAATAGGTGGATGTTTTACACTCCCCTCCACCGCTGCCTACGAAGAACTTTGCCTATAAATAGGCCATTGTACACCCATCAATTCATTAAATAGAAATTCATTACAATTCATTACTTAATCTCTCTCTCGTCAAACACAATCATATATATATATATATAATATATATATAATATTACATATATTACACTAACATTTATATATTTATATATTTACCTATATTATTATACTATTTATTATATAACACGTTATCAGCACGAAGACTCTTACCTATTTTTGGCAAGTTTTATTTTTATATTATTTATATTGTTTATTTTCTAAACTATGAAAAATCGTGCAAAATTTTCTTTTAAACCTCTGTCTCTCACCGACAGTAATTTTCTGACTTGGTCAATGAATGTAGAAATACATCTGGTTTCTATGGGTCTTGTTCATACAATTGACAATGAAAATGCGGCTACAAGCCAAGATCGGGCTAAGGCTATTATTTTCATTCGTCACCATTTGGACATTCCTTTACAGTCCGAATATTTAACGGTGAAAGATCCACTAGATTTGTGGAATGAATTGAGAGAGAAATTTAAGCACTTGAAATATATCACTCTCCCCAAAGCCCGACATGATTGGCTTAACCTACGGTTGCAGGATTTTAAAACTGTTACGGAGTACAACTCTGCTATCCATCATATTACATCTCAGTTGAAACTCTGCGGAGAAATTGTTACTGAGAATGATAAATTGGAAAAGACTCTCTCTACCTTTCATGCTTCTAATGTTGTGCTGCAATAGCAGTATCGTGAGAAAAACTTTCAAAAGTACTCACAGCTCATTGCATGTCTTTTATTAGCTGAGTAAAATAATGAGTTACTGATGAAAAATCATCATTCCCGGCCCACTGGTTCCAGTCCATTCCTTGAAGTGAACGTGACATTTTCTGAACAAGTTCGTGGACGTGGTCGCGGTCGTGAGAGTCAACGCGGTTGATATACCCCTTATAATCGCTGCAGTTTTGACATTAACAGAATGCAGAGTAAACTCCAATATGGGGATATAGCCGAAAAGGCTAAATAAGGAAATAGACAAATCAACATTTGTAATCGGTGTGGTATTGAAGGCCATTGGGCCAATACCTGCAGAACAGCCAAACACCTAGCTGATCTTTATCAAGCCTCACTGCAGAAAAATGGGAGAAAGGTCGAGACTAATCACGTTTATAACGATGACGACCCTGATGATGATCTTCTGGATTACGACACAACGCATCTTGATATAGAGGATTTTGTCGTAGATCCAACAAACCCCCCCAGTGATAGACATATTATGTTATTTTATATTTTGTAATATTTAAATTATCGCATATTACCTTTTTGTAATGCATTTTGTAATACTTGTATTTGCCTTTATTAATATTGCGTTTATCTATATGTGAAGGTTAAATGGATGTCAATCAAAATGATGCAAATATGTGTTTCATTGACAGTGCAACGACACATACTATATTAAAACACGAAAAATATTTCTCCCATTTGAAAAGGGAAAAGATGAATGTCAATACAATAAGTGACAATGCAAAATTAATTGAAGGCTCTGGAGAAACCCTTATACTTCTCCCCGCGGGGATGAAAATTGTGATACAGTATGCACTGTTGGCCACTAAAGCTCGAAGAAATTTACTGAGCTTTCAGGAGATTCGGAAAAATGGTTATCACATTGAAACTATGAGTGATACCGATAGTGAATTTTTATTGATCACCAATATCATTCATAAAAGGAAATGCATCATTGAGAGATTACCCTCACTCTCTACTGGTTTATACTATGCTAGATTAGGTGTTGTTGAAACACACCCCACGGTAGATCAAAAGACTACCGATTTTCAAATATGGCATGATTGCCTTGGGCATCCTGGCAGTATAATGATGAGGTGAATTATTGAGAATTCGCATGACCATTCATTAAAAGGTCAAAAAGTGTTAAACACAAATGAGTTAACCTGTGTTGCCTGCACTCAGGGAAAATTGATAATCAGACCATCGCAAGCTAAAGTAGGTATTGAATAACCTACATTTTTTGAAAGAATACACGGGGATATATGTGGACTAATAGACCCACCGTGTGGGCCATTTAAATATTTTATGGTGCTTATTGATGCATCTACGAGATGGTCCCATGTTTGTTATTATCTACCCGCAATATGACATTTGCGAGATTGCTTCCCCAAATTATTAAATTACGGGTACAATTTTCTGATAATCCAATTAAGACTATACGTCTGGATAATGATGGTAAATATACATCAAATGCATTTGATGATTATTGTATGTCGATTGGAATTAATGTAGAGCACCCAGTTGCTTGTGTTCATACACAAAATGGTCTGGCAGAATCACTTATTAAAATATTGCAATTGATTTCTAGATCATTACTGATGAGGTCTATGTTGCCCGTTTCAGCTTGGGGGCATGCAATCTTACATGCAGGAACACTTATAAGAATAAGGCCGACAAGTTATCATAGCTATTCCCCTATACAATTAGTATTTGGTCACGAACCAAATATATCTCATCTACTTATTTTTGGGTATGCTGTTTATGTTTCTATTCCATCCCCAAACATACAAAAATAGATCTTCAATGTAAATTGGACATTTATGTCGGATATGAATCGCCGTCAATTATAAAATATCTTAAACCTATGACGGGTGATTTATTTACTGCAAGATTTGCATATTGATTTTGTCGAATCATATTTTTCGACATTAGGGGGAGACAAAAATGAACCGAAAAGGGATATTAATTGGAAAATCCCATTGAATTTTTGTGATCCTCGTACAAAACAGTGTGAACTAGAAGTTCAACGCATTATACATTTGAAAAATATTGCAAATCAGCTACCAGATGCATTCAATGACTCGAGCAAAGTTACTCGATCATATATCCAAGCTGCTAATGCTCCGGCTAAAATAATTGTCCCTAATGGACAAACTGGAAGTGCTAATGAATTAGCGACACGCTTGAAGCGTGATAGACCACTTGGTTTCAAAGACAAACATCCTCGAAAGAAAAGAGGAATTAATGATGATAATCATGAGAATATCAGGAATGACATTAATAAACCTCAATCTAACGAGGAAGTTAACCTTGAGATAATTGCTCCAGATGAGCACGATCTTGAAGAACATGATGAAATTATTGAAAACTCAATTAACTATGTTACTTTAAGAAAATGTTGGAACCGTAAAGAGGCAATTATTGATAATGCCTTTGCAAACAGTCTAGCACTTGATATAATGGAAGAAAATGAGGATCCAGAGCCAAAATCGGTTCATGAATATCGGAAAAGCAATGACTGGCCAAAATGAAAAAA